CATTTGGCACACGTGCTGACTATCATGCGTGGTATAAATTCCTTGGACAAAAGATTGAGAGAATGTGAGATATCAGTGATGCCTCAATTGGAGAACTCGTAGTACGACGATACAGAGTCAAAGCAACGTTCTTGATCATATGCATTGTACATACCAACAACGATACCATAAGCAATAGCACCCTTGGCGGCTGAAGCTTTTCCATGCAATCCTAGGGTCATGAGTTTTCTTTGCGAAGGCCACAACCACTGCGGCTTGCCAATGCACAAACTGATACACATACATGCAGAACTTGCCAGCGCCAGTGAACAGTATATAAAAAGGTAAGTTTTTTGTGCTTTGTACTCAATCTTTTTCCACCACTCTGGGTGGGAAGGAGGGAGGGAGGGAGGGAGGAAGGAGGGAGGGATGGAGGGAGACATTCTGCACCCCGCCGCATTTTTCTGACAACAAAACAATATGGCAGCATCATGTTTGCATTGATAGTCCCAAAAGGAAATACAGTAAGCAAGAGCAAGGAAAGTGGCATGGAAACATATAGCGGTGTTTTATGGTAGTTTATCCAACCTCACTTGCCAAAGATGGCGTTTCTGCTTTTGTTCGATTAGTGCAGCAAGTCTAGCCAGGTGTCTTGCCTGGGGTGAAAGGTGCAGTGGGTGTGACATTCCACCCACTTCGCTGAACACATATTTTTGTATACAGCAGGCGGTACAAGGAACTCGATGGACCCATATGAGCATCGAAGAGCAAGGGCTCCACTTCCCAGTTTGTTTTGATGTGAGAATCACAAAGTGTCACAGCAAAGCTGTACCATACAGACAACTACGACACCATGAACATCAAGCCGTGCTGCAACTGGTGGAACAAGTCGTTTTGCCATGAACGGCATTTTAGGCTGGAAGACAAAGAAGTGAAGCTACGACAGGCAGCGGGTAAGAAGAACCTGATATTTCCGCTTTGCACTTTCAACACTGGATGACTGGATGTAGAGACTATTGTACTTGATACTGTGGCATTACTGTATATGCTGCTGTGTTTGTGTACTTGCCATCCTTGTTGTTGCATCAGCCAGGACAGAAACAAAAGTGCCTTGTGGGAAAGATTAACAAAATTTAGCGAATCCTTGGTGCCAGAGCAGCAGTCCACGAATGCGGAGGCAGGGTCATTGGACATGGTGATGAAGGTTCTTTTTGTAGATATATATATATATATACACATGCATGTTCAATCTCCATGCATCCTCGATCCTTTTGCATCAACGTGAGTTAGGAATAAGACGTGGAGTTTTCAGCCAGGGCTAGTAAGGGAACCGTCTCTCTGAATAAGGATTCCAGTTGCAAGCAACGCAAGCAAGCATTCTGTTGTGCCGTTGTGTGATGTGCGAATTCAACACGTTCTTGTTCTTGATGTTGGTATTCCGATATTCCTTTTTGGCATGAAGGTGTCGCAAGGGATTCAGAATCAGAACTGCTCAAACTTCATGTTTTGCAGGGCCTGTCCCCACCAGAAAGGACAGGTTGCCAACAATCTTTCGTATCCAAGTGAAAGCCACTCACAGGCAAGACCTGACCACTCGAAGGGTGACGACTGGGTGGCAGTGGCTATGCCAAACCAGCAAACAAGTGCTTGTTCAGCTTCCACGCAGCGACGACGACGCCCTTCTCCGCCCTGCGCCGACTCCGAGTTCCGACTCCGACCCTGTTCCTAGTAGCGTCCTAGTAGCGTCCTTGTTCCTAGTAGCGATGCCAGGAGCCCCTAGTAGCGTCCGTGCTAGTCATACGAACTGAGTTTAGGGTTTCGGTTTTTAGGCCCAGAACCCACGCCGTTTGGGCCGAAACACACGCCCTCCACGAATTCGAGACCCAGAGCTGAACAATTAATTCCCGGAGCCGCCAACATCCAACCTCTACCGTTCCGGTTGATGGTTGTGTCATTATTCTGGCGCAACTGTGACAGCTGGCACCATCATCCATCACGTAACCCCGCCTGACTCCGTGGCTGTCGGATTTGCCGACTTTAACTTCAACTCGATCAAACAGACATTCTCACGGATTCTCACGAGCGAATCATCCTTGTTACCTGATTGTGCCCCTGATTGTGATCCGGTTGTTCGTTCTTCCCATATCTTGTGGCAGGAACAGCGGGGACCGAACTTTGGGACCTTCTCGGATGCGAAGGACGAAGAATCTCGTGGCTGAAGGCCGGAAGCTTCGACGTGTGTGGGCAACTTCAGCGGTGCTATGACGACAGTTGCACGAATAGGAATGAGACAGTTGGGCATGTTATTGTCCAGCTGCATTTCTTAGGAATGCATTGTGTCTTTGTGTTCATAAGCAGATGAGGGGTGCCGCCGCCCTCCAGGCCGAAGGCGACCCAGTTGCGTCAGCAAAAAGTGATTGTGGAATCACCGGAAGACGGTAGACCGAAGGCCCAACAAGGAGTTCTTTAAACATCGACGCCGATTCACATCAATGAACAGCTGCACAGAGTTGGGACTTGGCAGCTGTTATTCACATCAGTGGCACCTTGTAGGGGTTTATGGTCGTTGAGACACTGTGTTCTTGATTATTAAACTGCCAAACAATGACTTCGGAATGCTGATCACCTGAAGCTCAAGGGAAGCCAAAGCAGGAACTTTCAACATAATGATTTTAATTGTATTGTAAGCGTCTCAGACTTTGGTTGAAACTGTCGTCGTTACTTTTTTTGCGTTTGTATTCCCATCGTGGCTACGGCGCCCAATGGTGGGTATGGTGCCCAGCATTTTTGTCCTCATTGCTACGTGGTTGATCCCAGCCTCAGCTGTTGGTGGCCTCGGTGCCACAGAGGCGGGAAGGCTTTGCGACACAGCTTGGACAAGCAAAGCTCTCTTGTTATGAGTACAGGATGAGGAGGTCATGCACCAGATGAGTAGGATTGAGTAGGGATACACACAGCAATTTTCTTGATCCTTGTTGATCACTGATCACGCAAATTGTTCAATGTTGACGGCATCACGTTCGGGTTTGGAAGTGCGGTCTTCCCGGACAATGCTGTCCTGTCCCTGAGGCCGCCACCCAGGAGACAGACAATCTCATCACGCCCTTGAAATTACTGGCCTGGCAGAAGGTGACATCTCCAACTCGTCTAAAGCCGAAGAAGTCCCATTTTCCTAGCATCAAAGTCAACGGGTGTGGTTGTCTTGGAGTCTTGCAGTTGTTCTTTTGGGAATCACCGAATCACCGACTCTTCCTTGAAAGACGTCCTCTCGCCAGGCGCGAGAGGCTGGCTTTGACCGCGAGTTCAGTTCCTTCAAAGCGGTCTCAGCGAGAAGCCAATTGGTTGCGGGACGGAACCACTTTGTGAAGGCCGAAAGTGGCGTCTTCAGACGTCACCACCTTCTCAGAGGGTCAGAGCGTGTCAGGGTCAGTCAGACCACTGTGTGAATGTGGCAGAAAACAGCACCGATGTCGTTTCCGCTTGTGTCAGGTGTCAGTAGGGTCCACCACCTACATTCACTTGCGCATTTTTGAGCCCCAGCCCCATTCTGGACGAGCACCACAGCTCGTTGCTTTGGAGTTTCCTGGGTCTGCATATTAAGAAGAAGAAATTGCTTTGGTGGCAGAGTCTCCAAGTGGACTCTGCATCATCTGAGGTTGAATCACACTCTGGAAAGTGAGATAGAGTATTTTCCCAGGCCCAAAAGGGAGGAGCTTTGATATGGCCGTGGCCTGTGTTGGCCCAGCCACGTTTGAACACATGCCTAGCCCGGGGGTGGATCGCCACCCTTCTGGGATGTAAAACCTTCCCAAACCTGGATTATTGTGGCCGATGGCGTTGAATTGTTGTTTGCACACATTGTAGTCCAAGTATTCAACACATGACTGAAAGAGCAGCTAAGCAGCAACAAAAGCAGGTTGCTGTCAGCTTGTTTCACGCGACATTCGGAAGTGCCAGCACAAAACGTTCCATGCGGCTTTGGCCTTTTGACTTCGTCCCACCAAAGAAACGCCCCTATGAACGGCCTTTCGTTCTGGCAACAGACAAGTATCAGGCAACAGACGCTTAGTTTCCCCAAATTCTAGGAACCAAATCATTAGTGCGAGCGCTTCTTCAAGGAAGCTCCCCCCAGCCCTCAGGCGGGGAGCTTGCTTGAAGAAGCGTAGCAATCCTGCGTCCTAGCTAGTAGTTTACTAATCCCTTACTTAATTAAGTAGGCACCTACCTAATTAAGTAAAGGCGGGCTTTAAAGAAAAACCTTTCCTCCTACTTCTGGGACTTGGAATGATTCGATGTGTTGGCAAAATTAGATTACTATTGGTGCTACAAACACGGTGCTGCCATGAGCAGCGCTCACAGGTGGGGGCAGGCTTCAACAATACATCTATATTATATACTGTAGTCACAATATAGTCCCGAACTTGAACTCCACTTGTTAAGCAATTCTTGGCTACGAGAAGCACCAGTGATCACCAGTGCGCTTTTTCCACCGAACAACTGCGCTCGTTCACTACCTGGGTAGACCAGCAGAGTGGTCTTCTGCATATGGAAGCAAACAACTGACGCAAGAGCCCAAAGTCATGAGCTTATTTGCACCATTACAATGAAACTAGGCACAGCATAGTGAGACGGCTGGGTGAAATTTCTTTGTCAGCCCATAGGGCTGCATGGTCTTCTTGTGCATGTAATGCAGAAGATTTATGATGGTAAATGCATAGAACAAGGTGGAGGTTTATCTGTGAGCAACGTAGATGCCTCTTTGGATACTGCATGACTGTGAAGATTGATGTATTGGGGGTGTGGCAACTTGTGATTGTGATTTTGCTAGAATCTAGAGTCCGCGTGAACAATCTTCATTGTTCTTGCCAACTGGAAGCAGCTGAACTCCTACCAAACCTATATATATATATATATTACTGTAAGCCACATGGACAATCTTCCAGCTGCAAGCACCACGAAGAGTTCCAACGCCAAATTCAGAAAGAAGCTTTGCCGATGCTCTCTGATGAACAGATGAACAGGTGCTGAAGAGATTTTTGAGAAAGTTATGGAGCGCGTTCGTGCGGGTGCCTAGGAGACCCCAGGAGTATGCATTTGTCGAGCTGTTGGGTGTGTTCTGTACTTGCTTTGACATTTGCTCGGGAGATGCTACGTGAGATTGCCCACTTGTTGACTTGCAAACAAAGAGCCTCAATTAGCTGAACGCAGATTGTGGTGGGTGCTCGAGCAAACATTCCAAGGCCAGTCGGTCAAGCTCTCCGAGGAGTGGGACATTGCAGAGGCGCTGAAAGTTTGCAGAGAACTTTACACTCGACTTCATTTGCCACACTCAGGCTTGAACATACATATACTGTGTATATATATATATACATTATGTAAAAACACAATTTGTTCTAACCTGCTTCGCAGCATTTTTCAGACAATGACATCGACGGGTGCTGTACAAGTGTCACTAGCTCTTCCTGACAAGCTGGTCGAACTATGGGTTCGTGAACCATAATCTGCCGATGCATAAGCATGCCGACCAAAAGAATGATGTCTCTCTCACTCCTGAGATTCATACTTGGATTAAGCAAGAAGTGAATTCAGCGGACATGGTCAACAGACTACTTGCTGCTTACTTTTGACATTTGTGGCTTCCCTTTCCATAAACCTTCGCGGCTTTTGCAACATGCGGACCATTCTCGGGCTCTTGTGCCATGTGATGGACTGTACCTCAGTGACGCAGCCTTCGACTTCGTAAGTCACGCCAAAAAGAGGGCCGAAGAGCTGATCTCATCAGCTTAAGACCCTTGTGAGACCATGGACCGTAGAGATCGTGGTTTTTCTGATACAAAGCTTCACCTCGATTTCCAAGGCCATCGCGGACACGATGCCCTGCAGCTTCAATGTGCCGTATTTTGAATGCAGAGAAGCCATGTTGTGAGGATCAACTAGAACCATGTAGAACGTGAAGAAGTTGAACCAGCAGTGTGATGTAGAACGTTGCCGGTGCCAACGTGAGGTTCCGGGACTGGGCCATTGCCAGTGATCAGTGTAAGCCAGGCAGGTTTGGGAGATGTAGGTGCGAAGTCATTCATATCTCGTTTTTCAATTCAACAAGCGGACAGAGTTGGCAGTCAGCGGACTGCTGTTGACAAATCCATCAGATTCATTGTGCCACAAACCACAGGTGAGATGCTGACGTGTTGCACTGATGCAGACTGTGCAGCTTTGCCAAAGAACTGTTGCCCTCACTATGGGCCTGGGCCTTCACCAGGTGAGGGCTTGCAACGCATCAATTTAGGCATGTTTCACGCAAAAGACACTGGACACGGTCGTCCATTTTGACATCCTTTCTCTCCGTTCTCTCTCCTGTTTGTCACCGTGTGGTGTTTGATTGCACACCTCGCACGAGGCTGTGGCTGGCTGCATTGCCTGGAAACAGGACGTGATAGCTTTCAGCTTAATTTTTCTCTGTGAAGTATGCAGACAATTACAAGTCAACAGAGATTCTTGTGCTTCTACCATTTCCAAGACTTGACGTAGATAGGCAGGGAACAATTTGAACAGATGGTTGTGCCCTTGTGACGTTCATGATTCACATAAAGAACGGATACTGAGATGGTTCAGGAGCACCTTTCGCTACTGGCAAGGTTTGTGGCTTACACCGCCTTTCCCCAGCAGGTGCATCGACGCCCACAGGCTGGGAGCGGAGCGGAGCTGGAAGATGCTTCTGAGCGGAGCTGCAGCTGAGGTACCTGCAAACGCGATGGCTCCCTGTGTGGAGTTGAACTGGCCACGGGCAATGTGGGTTGCTTCAGCAACAGCACCTGTATCTTGGCGAGACAGCTGCGCACGGCACGCTTTGCAGAAACACATCATTTGGCCTCGAGACCTTGGAGCAGGATAGCAGGCTTGCATTGCAAAAGAGTGATAGGTGGGCTAGGTCCGGCTAGGTCTAGGTGCCCGTTTTTGTTTGGAAAGCGATGGCACGGAGTGGTATGCACCCAGCGCTCTTAGGCAATAATCCTTCGGCCATGGCGCCCAAATTAGCCTGCCTGGCAGCCCAACCGATTCCAACAGCGAGTCCACCTTTGATTGTGATATCAACATTGAACAGTGATTTTTTGACTTTCAAGCTTTCCCAGGTTTGTGACTGCAAGTCTCCACAGTCTAAAGTCATTGAACATGTACATAAAGGCTCATCAATATTTGCTCCAAGGTTTTCCAGACGGGCATGCGGCTGAAAATGCCACGGAGAATGAGCAGTTGGTTGTGTGAAGACTAGCTGCGAACATGAGCCTTTCAAGCTCCCAAGTTGGCGCAGCAGCACGAAGTGCTTGAGCGGCAGCAGTGTTGATTGAACATTGGCTGATGTGCACATCGTGGTTGAAATGAATGGCCATGGCCTTGTGAATGTTTTGTCAGCGGTGTCTCAAGGGCGTTTATGCTTTGCGTGCCAAAAGCTGACCAAGTATGCATACTGACAGAAGATAGCCCCTTTGGTATGCACAGCAATGCACAGACACTTTTCTGTTGCAGGCACACAGATCCCAAATAGGTCCAGGAGAGGCCTTTGGTGCGTGGCTCCTCAGCTTGCCGCACTTGGCTGAAGTCTCGTCTCAGATTAGACACCAAGCCAAGTGCTCATTTGGCAACTAGACTGCTGCAGACTGCTTTACGGGTACGTAGCTCACACCGTGACGGGACGTGAACGTTGACCTTTCGGAGTCCAAATCGCTGCGGTCTGAACGAATGAATGCTCCGCTTAGGCCTGGACGAGCAAGCCGCGGATCCGCGATCGCTGGAATACGCTGGCGAGAACAACTGCATGTTGGGCCATGTGAAAGGAAAACTAACGAGGGAGAGAGAGAGAGAGAGAGAGCAACAAAAAGAATTGGGCTCAGAAAACCAGCACACCAGCACACCCTTTTAATCTCACGCCAGCACCACGGCCTCAAAGAATCGAAGCATCAGCTGCGCTGTGTGTCTGGACTCGCGCAGCTCCGTCTGGTGGCGAAGCGGCGACACATGCCCGACGTTTTCGAGGCGGAGAGTCCGTGTTTTGTTCCCTGAAGGGGACATTCCAAGCAGAAGAGTGGCTGACGCTGTCGAGATGGACCATTGACCTGGTTCTCTGGTTTGAGGTGTGTGATGCTAGAAGAGCCTGCTGGGTGCACGCAGAGGGGGCCTAAGAGCTTTGTGTCGTCTTTTGGAACCACTTTGATTCTACTTCGCTTTGCAGCTCCTAGTCCTCACAGGATCACAGCACCACGGAATTCATTGCTCGAGCAGCTGCCAGGGCCCTTGTACAAATAGGATCTAGGAATATGAGGAAAGACGTGATGTACGAGTACTTGGGCACTCTTCGATTTGCTTAGAAAGTACTCCACAAGACCTTTGAGACCTGGCGTTGTGTTTCCATGGAACTCAACTCCATGCAATGCCACTACGGCTCGATCATATTTTCAATTCTAGTAGACAACCAGTCAGTTAATGCTGAGGTTGCTACTGTGAATATGACTGGGTTGGTTGATTCGCCACAGCCTCACACTCTTGGACTGTTCAACATGGGTGCAATGTTGCGTGACTCACTCACTTAAATGGGTCTTAGGTTTATGCTTTGCTGTCCTGCTTGTTAAAAGCACGCACACTATGGATGGAGGTGTATGTACAGTGAATGCGGTAACTCGCCGATCGAGTTGAATGGGGGCGTGAGCACAGAATGCAGCGGGGTGTAGCCTATCAGTCAAGGGCCATCCAAATCGAGAAGTTCCAAGACGAGACAGGTCAATCTAGTGCAGAGCGTGGTTACCAAACACGAGCAGGTACGTCAGGGTGATCAGCAGTGGTATCCGCATGTGCGGCCGCTTCGTTGGAGGATCTTGCGCCGTACATGGAGAGCCTTTTTGCAGAAGCTAGAAACAATCTGAATGGCAGCAAAGTGAGTGCTGAGGCATGCCGAGGCACCTGTGAGTCCAAGGTTTCCACATACACACACACACATACGCACGAGAAAAGAACAATAGTACTGCAATGCATTGAAAGAGGTGGTACTCTAGGGCCGGGCCTATGGTGCTGTTCCACGGCGTGACTCACGACAAGGTATGTCCTAGTATGTCCCTCCAAGTTAGACAGTTTTCTCAAGTAAAGTAGAATCGTCCAGAAGATAAAGAAAACCGGTTTGTTTACAAGGATGGCCAATGGCCCTTTGCTTTGTCGGCAGTGCCATTTTGCATGAACAGTCATTGATATACGGAGGTTCGACGAGACTGGAGGAATCGTCATAGGGTTTCATGGCCTCTTGCTTCGTAGTTGATAATCTTTGTTGCCTGGGTGTTCACACACAGAGACTACTTGCCAAGATCAACTCTCAGAATGTTGCAGCAAACTGTTTGATGGATTATTGTTGTCCGAGGGAAAGCTGGAGATGGACTCATTGTTCTGAGGTTTCATGCTATGCCTGCGCCACGATTTCCAGAGGTGGTATTCTTGGGCTGGTTGGAAGCCGAATGAGCCGAATGGGCAAGGCGTTTTCATATTGCTGAACGACAGACATGCGGACATGCAAAAACTCCCGGTTTACAAGGTCGAACGTGGGCAAAAGCTCCTTGATCAACGCCTTGTTGCATCGTACAGCCAAGATCTCAGAATATTTTTCAAAGCCACTCGTGTGGGACAAAACCGCATTTCTTGTGAATTGTGGTCGCAAAAAAAACAATCTATTTGGCTCAGATCCTTTAAGTTTCGAAATACAATCTCAGATCCTTCGCTCAGGCTGTCGCACCCGTCTCCAACATGCCAGGTAAGACGTGTGGGCCCCAAGATGTGACAGACTCGCAAGGAAATGTAGAAAGGACGGTGATGAAGGTGTACTGTATTTCGGTAGTTCTGTGAGGACTCAATTCCATTTTTACTCGATCAATGAGAAGAATGCAGCTTTTCCGCAGATGACTCTCGTGGACGTCCCTTCCTTGGTTTTTTTTGCTGCTGAGATCTACAGTACTTTTCATTTACAATTCTCTCATAGTTCGCTGCCGATGGCGATTGGTGCGTCAGTGGCTTCCTTCTTCTTATGCTTGCTTATGCAGATGTTTGACAATTTCATGGGAGTTCTTAGAGAGTTTATGTCAGACATTGGCAGCGGGAAGGTGGTTGTTGAATCCTTAAATCACGTATCTTCACCACAGGAAGGTTCCACTTTTGGATTCAGGTGCCAGGCTTGGGTGAGGCGATGGCAGACGAGGCGCAAACCAGGTGTGAGTCCCGGCGGTCGAAGTTCTTTTCTGCACTGGGACTGCCAGCGAACGAGGGGCATTGCCCATGTCATGTTGAAGTACTCTGTGGCATTGTCTACTACAGCTCAGCAAAGACTTTTATTGCATAAATATGATCATGTGGGGAGGGGAGTACAGCAAAAACCATGCACATTTCCTCGTCTCCAGACTTTCATTCCCGTGAAATCGTTTTGAACAATTTTCGGCTTGGTCCATGATATGATGATTATGGATGTCCCTCGCTCCCTTTGAAACATTTCCTTGAACAAGTTTGCTTCCTGAGGGGTTTCCCCTCCCTTGCTTTCATACATTTATATATGAGGGAAATCAAGCTTCCTGAGAATTGCGGAGAAATGGCAATGATAGGTCGTGATTCAAAGACATATGCGGTGAGAAGTTTTCCATAGTTTCCGCATGTTGCCAAACATTTTTTCAACCCCATGGCCTCATACAGTTTGCACTAGCGCCGCTGGAGTTTGCTCGGAGAGGCGCATTAATTGCATTTTCACCCCCCCAGCTACACAAACCAATCAGGGCTATGTGTGTTCTCCCAGAAGCTTGGCTGATGACACGATTATAATATGATGTGATCTCCCTGGCTTGCATACATTAACAGGATAAAAGGTGCTTCCTGGGCTTGGGGTCGTTACCCACCGGCTTGCATAGATTTTAAAGTCTATATATTTTTAAGAACAATTCGGAAGTTATTGGGGGGCCATCTCCCCCATCCCAGATATACATCACTGTGGAGCCATCCTTTTTCAGAAGTTTGTTTTCATGGTTTGTTTAGCAGTTTAGCATCAATAAGGGAGAGCATGGGAGAGCCTGCAAAGGGTTTTGCTGTGGAATTGTATGCGGCACGGGGGTGCCCAGGGAGCTGTTCGAGTCAAACAAAAGAAGCCACTAAACTCCAAGGTCCCAGTTCCCCAACACAAGACCTTGTAACATTGTAGCCACCCAACAGCATTTTCCTAACTTTGTGCCATGATTGTGTCATTGCAGCATTGTCGTGTGTTTCATACATGTTGTGATATAGTAAGCATTCATTCTACTTGTTGGGAGTCTTTGGTGAGGCACTGGAGGAGCACTCTGGACTTGTGCCCATTAAACTGCAGAGTGGCAGAGTGATAGTCCTTTCGGATTCTGCCGCTACCCAACAGCGCCAGCAAGTTTATTTTGCTGCCACTAGCTTCACTAGCTACCATGCTGACTATGCCTTGAGTGGTGCACTAGGGTTCCAGGGTCAGAACCGAAAGACGCCTGTAACGAAGCAATGTCAACTGTTCAGGTACCTGAAAAGACGAGGCAACATGCTGCGGCAGGTCTTTCACCTCATCAGCTGTGAGGCTCATCGGTCCGCTTGGCCGGCTGACTCCGGTTGAACGGACAAAACACACCAGTGCATGCGCGAGTGTGACATTAAGTTACTAGAAACAAGAAGCCACTAGGGGCTGCTGGCATCGCTACTAGGAGCAAGGACGCCACTAGGGGCTCCTGGCATCGCTTCTAGTAGCAAGAAGCTACTAGGTGGAAGCTACTATTAGGTTGGAGGCCATTGCCTCCAGCATCGTTCAGCGATTCTAGTCAGGCCAGAGACTCTCTCTGCCAGTCTGCCAGAGATGCGGAATGTTCGTTTTTGCTGCAAAAGCAACCGAAGCAATTTGATGCTTTGTTCGGTTGAAACAGATTACCTGGTCACAGAGAAGTGAAGGCTGTCCACGTTGAGCCATGAGTTTCCGCTGGATGAACCCCCCCGACATCAGTTCAAAGATTGGATTTGTTCATCTCCCCGTGGCAGCAGGTTTTGCTGCGCCGCAAGCGGCCGTCTCTTCTTGATATGGCGGTGATGGCCACTTGGTTGCGGTTTAATCAACCATGTGAAGATTGCAAATATATAAAGGCATCAACATCCTCTGCGCCAAGCAAATCGGTTCTGAGCGTCCAAGTCTTCTAGGAGATGTGCCTCCGACACCGACGCGACAGTGAATATACAATAGCCTGAAGCTTGAGACGTGTGTGATTGATTGAGGTCTAGTTCGTCCAGTTCCATGTTCAACTTGTCCTGGTACAATGTTGCAACTTGTTTTGGTTGAGAAACCCCCTCAGTCCAGCTCAACGACCAAGCACTTTGAGCTCAGCAGGGACGCTTGACAATTCTTCCATTTCTGCACATGATCAGTTCTTAAGGTGATCACAAAGGTTGATCTTATCAAAAGTGAAGAAGCAATGGAGAAGCACTGGCATATGTTTCTTCATTGGGATGATCCTAGGTTCGGTCCAACGCCATGCCAGGACTGTTTTCCAAACCATGCGACGTATCTCAGCAAGAATGTCAGAAAAACTCGGCATTCGCCGCGTCAAGGCGAGTCGGGGTCTGGGCTCTCATGCTTTGGGCTCGTGTGATGAGAGTTGCTGAAATGCTGTTGCTGCAACTGTTCGTTGCGACATGCGAGGCGTTTTGACCGATCATCCCATTGGGAATATTTTATGTATGAAGCAATTCGGGACTGGGGAAACTCGGGGACCCTGGGCGTTCTTGAATGGTCGCACAGATCATTCCTTGCAGCGTGAAGCGCATCCGCGGCCGCATTCTTCTTTGGCGGAGACTTTGGAGGTGCTCTTGGCGTCGCGTTTGCGATTTCTTTGGTTTGATTGGGGCGCTTTGGTTCTGGGAATATACAGATCAAGTCAGTCCACATGTGGGCTAAAGGCTCACAACAGAAGCTGCCAACACCATCCCAACCTGCCAGCATTGATAGCGCCAGTCCACCATTTGCCAGTTTGCTAGGCCCTTTTCCCCAGTTTTCTGAACAAAGGCTCATGATCTCAGTGACTTGCCAGGCTGCTTTGCTCCACTCCAAAATTCTCCGTGACATTTCCTATCGATGATGCAATGATCTATTTTTCCAAACCAGACCTGTCCCACTGAACAACCATGTCTTTCAGGTCGGTGGACCCTGAGCTCACCTTGAAGGTCCGTCCAGCCAAAGAGCTGAAAGAGGTGCAGAAGGACTGCTACGACTGGAAGGTTAGGCTGTTGTTGTTTGTTCTGTTTTTCCCAGAACAGCTATCATGTGTTCCATGCTTTCTCGGTTCAAGCTTTTGCCACGGCTCCAGTTGATGAGCCTAGTGCATTCGCCCGCTCAGAGCAGACTCATTGCGGCTACTGTTGCTTCCTTCTTCAGGGAGCCTGCTGGGCTTTTCTTACCCTGAATTTTACGAAGAGGTCGTGGTGCACTGGCCATCTTTGGTGGCGGGGTGCTCATTCGCTTCATCGCTGGCCAGGTGCTTGAGCGGCTTTGTTGAAGAGAGCTCGCTCCTGGCCATCTCGTCCGCGGCGTAGACCAAATGCCAGACTATATATAGATAGAGCTGGTGAGCCCCTTCAAGAGCAGCTACGGATGTATACTGGAGCTAAGGTGCGCTCCTGCAACATCACCCCGACCCGGCAACTCCTTCCTCTGGAGCTACGTGGTCGCGAGGGCTTTGAGAAGGGCGCGATGGCGGCAATGGAGGTGGGTGAGAGCTCGTGGTCGGAAGTTGCAGGAATGAGACTGCGAGGGGGCCTGTTCATCGGGCAGCTTTGGTGACAACTTGGATGCTACGCGAAGTGGAGCTGGCAGCCATTCGCAAGAGGACATTGTGATCCACGAGAAAGAAAAATTGGGGCACTGAACCTGAGATCTTCGAAGGGCAATCAGGAGTTGCGCAAAAATGCGGGTGGTGACAAGAAGCAGCGCGGACTTGGACATGCAAGCGAGATAGAGTTTGTTGGGGTGCGCAAATCACGTGACGGAAGTCCTGGAGGGCGCGAAGGACATGGAGACGCTCAAAGCAACCGAACTGAAGCTGCGAGCAACCTGACGGTTGCCCAGGAAAAGCTGGATGATTCTATCCAGAGGTGGGAAGAAGAGATCTCGCTTCAGCACCATGGCTTTCTTCCTTCACATGGTCGCGAGTTGGCGTGGTGCACTGGCATACCCGATCTGGGTGATCTGCGAGGGTGGTGCGTGAAGCAACCTGACACCAAGGTCACAAAAGTGGGAGCGTGAGTGCAACGGTTGTCTTGAAAGAAAACGACGTTTATTGCTAGACAAGGCAGGAAGCACCGTGGGAGAGATAATGGTGGCTATAAGCGACTGGATTTCCGAATGGCTGGTTAGTGGTTCAGGCACTCACATAATTATTGGAGTCTTTTTAGAAGGTGTTTTCGCAGCCATGTCATTGTTTCGGATCAAGCCTCACCCCCTTCCATCCCACTGTCGGAGAGTTCATTCTGTTTGGCGCATTGGGTGCGACCGTGTGTGAAAAAGCAAATCGAGATGAAAGGCCCTTTCAGCCCCACTTCGTTTGATGAGAATTTTACATCAAAAATTAACCAGAGCTGAAGCTGAAGGAGCTGGATGCCATGGTCGAGCAGGGCAAGATCGAAGACCTATCTGCCTTGGCGGAACAGGAACAACCAGTCCGTGAAGAGTCGTTGAACGGTTTGCCTTTTTCCTACCCACAGCTGATGGCCTGTGATTGGTTAAGTTCAATAGTTTCCGTAGTAGACCTAGATCTCAACTGAACACATATCAGAGAAACTAGTCCAGGGTCAAAAGCGCAACCCAAGTGTGGCAGAGATGAACTTAGAACAAACCCGCTGCATACTTTGTCATTCACATTATTGCGTGTGATTCTATTTCGTAATTTTGGTTTAGTGCTTGAACAAACTTACAAAGTCTCAAACCGCAACGGTTCCAGGAATCCAACTGGGACGTGTGGGATTACGCCATGCGCGGCTTGGTGCAGCTAAAGCAGTTGAGAAAAACATGGCAGCTGCTTCAGCAAGGCCCAGCTGAAGGCGTCCAAGCAGCAAACAGACGCATGTTGAGGGACAGTAAATTATTTAGAGTCCATGGAACTCAGATTTAGGATTTTTTTTTGTGTTTCGGGGGACTTCGCCATCAACTACAGACCTAGATTTTTTTTTGTTGAAACATTTGAAACTGTAGGACTTGTAGGTCGTAAGCATCCTGACATCAATAGGCTGAGCCGCTGACCAAGCTGTGCTTGAGTTTGAGATTCAAGAAATAGCTCGAACAAGTTATACACATGGCGGAAGTTTGAGATTAGAGGAAGAGAGACATTTTCGGAAAGAAAGGGGGCAGACAAGATAAACGAGACCGCCGTTTGAAAGGCACAACTGGAAGGTAGTAGGACAGGCATAGCACCACCACCCAATATGGTTTTTCATGACATTTTGCGGCCAAAATCATTTCCTTGTTCTTCTTTTTGTCTCTTCTCTCCCTTTGTTTCTCCCTCTGTCTCTGTCCCCCCCCTCGCGCACGCGCGAAAGCGTGCGCGCTCTCTCTCTCTCTCTCTTTCTCTTTTTCCATAGCTTTTGTTGTGTGTGACGGCAGAGCTTGGTGCAGTTGCTTTTCCTTCCGTTGCAGGTTTTGTACGAGACAACCAGGACAACCAAGTACTTTTGATGTGCTTGAAACATATTCTATTGTGCTCTAAACTTGAAACTCTACATTCTATCTTCCGTGGAAATGGACCTTTCAGAACTGCAAGAAGAGGCGGCATAGGGACATGGTGCTGCAAAGGAGGATGATGAGGATTTGATGGAAGATCTTGAGGAAGACTTGATGGAGGCTTTCTCTTCATTTACTGTAATTTTTCAGTGTTTCGGAGTTGTTTCTTGAAGCAACACTGAAGCTCGGCTCTCAGGAAGCTGAGCTGCAAGTGAAGGCCGCAACTGCGCCGGACTCGCACATGGCCATTCCAACTCAGTGATTCGTGGACGTAGGATGATGGCGAAGCCTCTTCATCAACTCAGCCAGCTGATGATGTAGTGGAAGAGGCTCAAGAAGATGAGGAGCCGCAGTGAACCTTTGCTTCATGAGTCCAGGAACTATTCAGAGATTCACACACGTGCTTTTCCAGGATCCTGAAACCAACTGCAGAGTTCAGAGTCTAAAGAGAAACATCAGGTGAGCTCCAACACCGGACCCAGATTTTTGTGAGGACCTGGACTTATTCCAGGATGTCATCGAGGAAACTGGGCGACTCTCAGCTATGCAGGACACACCAGTCACAAGGGAGGTGGCAGGGGCAGGGGCAGGGGGAATAAGCCGGACAGAACAAGTGTTGCTAGCGATTTCCAGTTTCATGTGACCTTCACAGTCCTCATCGTCCATGTAGGAGCGCGTAGCAGTGGTACTGGGTGAGGCGGCCCTTGCAAGAGAGGAGACACTAAGCTGCAGAAAATGAGGCCCAGAAGAATATTACCGGACAGGACAAAGGCGCTGCCCTCAATGACGGTTTCCTTTAGCACTGTCTTTGCCGAGGTCAGCAGAGCCGCTGGACGCACCTTTGGCAGAGTTGATCATAGAGAGGCTGCAAAGTGAGCAGTCTGCTGCGGTTGCAGAGCTCCTGCCGTGAGCTTAGAGTTGCTCACTTGAAGACCTCCCTGCTGGGAGCCGACCCATCAAGAAGCTTCACAAGGAGCACAAAGCCTTTCAACATTTCAACTGGCTACTGTGTGAAGTGTGACTAGGGTTGAACTTCCAAGAACGGTCTTAGCCATGGGTTGTGCTGAGTCGAGTATTTCTCTTGCATACTTATCCCAACGTTTGAACGATTGCACAGCTATCGGCTTTTCATAGCTGCAAGTGCAACCCCTCATTGTCCTGAACTTGCCGCAACAAGCAGTTTTACTTTTGCGTGGTCCCAAGTCCAAAGGAAGAGACAGATGTCGGGCGAACATGTTGAACGAAGATTTGCAGCTGGGCGGAGAATGCAGTTCACACCAAGGATGGAAAAGGCCGTGTGTATCTCTCGCGGAGAAGATGAGTTGGCCAATGCTTTCTCCAACACGTTTGCGCAGTTGAATGAACTGCTGACGATGGCGAGAGAGGAGCTACACGTCGGAGTCAATAACACTGAGAGTAATATTATTCATAGGATTTGTTAAAGGAATGTCGACTGCAGGATCCCAGGATGACACCCTGGACTGCTGATCGCGAGGTGCTTAGCTGATCTCTTCCGTGAAGAATCGCCAATTCGAGAGATACTTTGGCATACTGAAGCTACTCCAGCTACTCTGCCTTCCAAGCATGGTGAGGCGAGGTTCCTGTCTTCCAAGGTTGGACTCGTCTCATCCTATCCATTGGCAGAGCGAATCAGCTTTGCCTGATAGAGAAGGCTGGAAGCTGAGTCCGACAGAAGCTTGATGTTCATGGTGGTCTTGCTGCTGCTGCTGCTGGTGATGATGACGATGATGATGAGCATTATTATGAGGGCATTCTCTGGATGTCAAGCCGCTCAGGTTTTTGGCTACATGAAGGAATTCCACGTGAGAGGGGACAAGGACGGGATGTCTTTGGGTGTTTTTTAAAGCAGGGCTCTGTCTTTACATGTGCGGGCAAGCCAAGCACTGACTTTATTCAAATCTATTGTATCAGCCATTAAACTTTGTGTACGTCAGTACACAGTTCGGAAGCAGATACATGCGAGAGACAGAGAATGGGACCGGCTTTTTGGTGGATAAGGTTTTGACATTTCACGCTGTGTGAGTGAACTTGAAAGCGGTATGAGGACAGCAAATATAAGCTCCAAGTATCTTCAAGTCATCTATAAGTCGTTAGCCAAAGTTCCGTCAAAACCAACATGAACACCTACTTGTTTAGTTTTGTGGATGTATGGTTTGATCTATGGTTTGCATGGCAATGGAGGAGACAGATGCAGCGGTTGCCCAGCTTGTTTGGAGCTTGGATTTTGATCAACACACTCAATATATGAGCAAACCACAATCAACCACGAAACTTGGGATTGTCTCATGATTTGTACACCAAAAGCGATCATATAAAAAGGCAAGCAATGCCGACTTTTAGGTTTCAGGCCGCCATGGCATGTCACACTCTTTCAAGGTCGTCAAATCACTGGACGTTGCCCAGCAGGTGTGGATGTGAATTGTGAATACTTTTCAAGAAGTCAGCCATCACTCCCTCATACTCCTCTAGGGACATTCACCCTCCTCTAGGGAAGTGGGCAGGTTTGCCTTAGCTGTAGAGACTTGGGCTGGAGGTAAGAGAGTCTGTGGAATGATGCGTTCTGCTGGTGCCCAGTCCGGTGTGTGAAGATCTTGTCGGTTCCTGTGCAGGCACCAAGTTTATCGGGGCCTGCACCTGAGAGGAGGAACCCATGTCTAATTGACTCATCGGTTCTAGCGGCTGGCTAGGGCAAATGCAGCTCTGAAATGCACAAACTCTCCGTCTGTGCACAAGCAGTTGGATTCAGTTGTGTGTACGCTCAATCACAGACTTGCCTGGCCAAGCAAAGAATGGCTTGTGTCTCAAGGTTGACACGACTTGAAGGCCTTCCTGAGGCCTGGACCAGCAGTTGTGTGATAGGTTGAACATTTTCAGGTGCAGCTATATAGAGTATGACGCAGATATGTATGTAATGTAATGGTATGTAATGCAATGCAATGTAATGTGTATATATATATATATCTAATGTAATTGTAATTGTACTTGTACTTGTACTTGTAATTGTAATTGTAATTGTGTTTGTAATTGCAATTGCAATTGTAATTGTAATTGTAGTTGTATGTTATGTTATGTTATGTTATGTTATGTTATGTATGTTATGTATGTTATGTATGTAATGTATGTAATGCATGTAATTTATGTATGTAATGCAATGTAACGTAACGTAACTTAACGTAATGTAATGTATGTAATGTATGTATGTAATGTAATGTAATGTAGTGCAATGTAATGGTATGGTATGGTATGAAATGTGATGTAATGTAATGTAACGTAACGTAATGTACTGTATGTAATGTATGTATGTAATGTAATGTAATGCAATGTAATGGTATGGTATGGTATGGTATGGTATGGTAATGTATGGTATGGTAAGGTATGGTAATGTATGGTATGGTATGGTATGGTATGGTATGCGTATGTATGTATGTATGTATGCATGAATGTATGTATGGGATGGTATGGGATGGTATGGTATGGAATGGAATGGAATGTAATGTAATGCAATGTAATGTAATGTAATGGTATGTAATTGTATGTAATTGTATGTAGGTATGTAGGTATGTAGGTATGTAGGTATGTAGGTATGTAGGTATGTATGTATGTATGTATGTATGTATGTATGTATGTACAACTTTTTTGTTTTTTGGAGGCCAACCAGGGTCCCTGGTTTGACCCATAGCACTTTCAGTGAGGTGGCAGAAATTTTGGAAGGATCCACAGGGACTGCCCACCAGTGATCAGGGTGCCCCCTGTCTAAGCGTACACTGTTGCTCACCACTAGCCTTTGCCAGCTTTGTGTCTGAATGATTGGGCTAGCTTCTTCCTCCACAACTTGGGAGTTTCACACTTTCCTTTGATTAGCACAACCACACTTGCACTATGACATTGGTTGCGATTTCTCAGAGTCTCAGTATTAGCAGATTGGTTGTGAAATCAATCCAGGTCCATCTTCAAGACATATCTCTTCCCACCAGCCAAGGTGCTACTGCTTGGCACGGCTGGAATGAGAAACAGCCCGAAAACTCAGATCACAAGAGACAAGAGTCCTGTGTCCAAAAGCGGCATCTGAACAAAACGCCATCTACCCTTTTTGCATAGTGCACATATGTGATTCAACTTGCTCCTGGCACATGCCGACACACCGTTCGGTTGTATCTTTGCCGTGCTTTGCCATGATGAGTGCTTTAAACAAAGGCCACAAAGAGCCAATACATGAAATATCATGAACAACGCTTGGTATGCATCGAGAGTCAGGCCACCGGAAATCGATGATAGATTTTGTTCTGCTTTGCATTTGCATCTCCTCGCAAGCAAGATAACCTCCGATTTCGGATGTTCAGGGTGCTGCGGCGGAACATGCTGCACTCAGAATGAGTCACACACACAAACACTTACGACTACTGATTACTGTAGTTCTCACATAGCGCCAGACGCCAGAGCAGACTGACTGAGCAGACCAACAACTAGCTGGCTTCATGGGAATCCAACACTCCGACTAGCTCACTCCTGCTATGAATGGACCGGGCGTGCCGCCCGCTGGTTGGCCATGCGATCCTTGGCTGAAGAAGCTTCTGATTTGCCCGAACTCCAAGTAGTGGGTCTCCACAAATAAAGGAAAAACTGTTTTCATTACGAAGGGTACGGTAAAGTCCGGATACTATCGCCAGCGAGTAGCGCTGATTTGCAAGCTTTACAAGCTTGTTCAACGCTTCGTCAGGCATTTTCAGGCGTCGAACAGCTGGTCTTTTGATAGACGTCCGTGTATTGCCTGTCAGGAGCGAATTCTGGTGAAGAATTTGCCCATGAACTCCACAGAGGGCAGTGTCCGTGGCCTTTTCGAGACATATGCAGCTATTGAAGGCTGGGCTCCAAGAGTTCACAGAGCAGTCTTTATTTGTGTCCTATATAAAAAGTTTCGAGCAGAATTTTGAAACAGAATTCGCTTTGATACTTTCACGATGGCAGGGATTCGGATGCTTCCACCCATCCCGGGCAAGAACGGCTTGGCCGCCTATATCACCTTTCAGAATTTGGAGGAGGCCGGGATCCGCTAGGCAAGGCTGGCTTGACTCTGGGCTTGTGCGAACTGTTGAGGCCAAGTGGGTTGTGGAGAACATGAACAACAACCCTCTCCAGGGCCTGCCCGAACCCTTGCAACCCGGCACGGGTCTGCCGTGGTTTGTAGACATGACAAAGATGGCTGGGAAAGTGTCCGCAAAGGAATGACTTGATTGCAGCAAACCTCATTGCCTTCAAAATTGATGCTTTGCCAAACACCTGGATCCTAATGGATGCAACACACGGTCTGTGACCCTAATCCATGAGACATCATCGACTTGGTGCCCATGTAGTGGCCCTATAGGTGCGTCTTTTGTTCATGCTGAGGAAGACACAGGAGGTCACCATGGTTCTTCGGAGAAAACACCAATGGTTCTTTCTCCCAGACCGTTTTCCAACAGCATCAGCTTAAAGAATTGCGTAGCTCAGGCAGCTGAGCTTCGACAATGTTGGAAAGGGCGACTTGGTTGCCATCCAGTATTTGTTTGTCCGGGTGCGTGCCCGTCCAGAAAAAGTCAAGATGCCTATATACATAGAGACGCAACACAATTGTCAATGCAGCGACATTCATTTGGAGGTCATAGGCGCAACATATATACATGTCGCACGAGATCCCCAGATTAAGCGAAGCACTTTGCCAGAAGAGGTTTCAATGCACTGCAAGATCAAGCAAGTGCTTTGTGGAATCATAGAAGATGCGTGCTGACGATTCTGGTGCTGCTAGCATATGCACAGGTCAAGGTTTGGGCAGGCTGGGGCCTGCTGTGCTTGGCGGGCACCAGACCGGCCAAAGGCTATCTATCTCTCGCGCCAGCCCATGAGACTGCGACCTACTACAGTCCCGGACCTGCTCATCGTTGGGGCATGCTGAGTTTCCGCCCAGTGTTTTCTGAACCAACTCATTGAAGCCAAAGAAATGATGCAAACGCACAGAAGCAGGTGCCAGCCCAGCTGCATCCCACATGCACCTGGCAGTACAAAGTTTGCAGGCTTCCCTTGATCCGTACAATCAGCCAGCTTCAGTTCACTCACCCAACAACCCCTCAAAGTGGCCAGTCCAGCACCGCATTTGTTCCAAGGCATACCAAGAAACTTGATGAGAGCACACCACAACAGTTGCATTATATATGAGTTTAGCCAATCACTGACTTGCAATAGAACGGAAGCAGATTAGACAAAGCTTGATGACCGAATGCTGAGTTTCAATCCCTCAGCATGGCAGATTGTCATGCTGAGGCCAGAAGGGAGGAATGCACCAACCTTAGTTTATTTCAATGCCTCCCAGTGCAAGATTCGAGCTTCTGCAGCTTCCTCGACAGAGTGATTGTTGTTGATGTAAACTTCCATGGGGTATATATATATACATATAATGTATAGCTTGTTGACCAAACTAACTTGATTTGTTTGAAGCTGCAACTTGTGTCGCTCTGCTAGCCACTCAATGGATAATTTTCTTGCAGAGGCGGCATAGTAATAATTCTGATGTATTAACTCATGGCCCAGAGGGCTCGAGTCGGGCTCGAGGGGCCGTGGATTGCTTGGTGAGCAACTTAGGAAGGGCCCTTATGATGGTCCCTGGCAGAAGACAATTATGTTGCTTGGACGAAGTTCCTAGCTTGCCTAGAGTTGTCCTGATTCGCCAAATTATTGAAGGAGTCTTGTGAAGATGTCTTGCCCTGGTCGCATCTGAGGTGTAAGTACTTTCAAGCAAGCGGATCCTGTAGACTTCAGGACGACTTGTCAAACTTTTGGCCGAAGAAACAGAAAGGATTCAACAACCATCGAGCGACTTGAAACGAGATCCAGGCACACCCTAGAGGCCTTAGAATCAATACAACTGTTTGCAGAATGAGATAAGGTCCGCCCATGAAAGAATATGAACTTTATAGATTTTGCATGAATTTGCTGTATGAGCAACTCAGTCCCTCACGTTGACGAAGATGATGGACGGGTTCCTACAGCCTGAGAGCTTGAATTTCGATTGGTTTCACGATTTCGGATCCAGGACTCGTGCCCCTTTGCTCACAGCGAGTCGGAGGTGGCGGCTGCAAAAGGCAAAGGCAAAGGCTTTGACAAGGGCTTTGACAAGGGCAAAGGCTTTGACAAAGGCTTCGAAAAAGGCTTTGAGAAAGGCTTTGACCCTGCATTTGGGGATCTGACGCTCTGCTGTCACAACGCGCTTGCAAGCGAACAATATCATTTGTGGTGAACATGAACATGTATGCCGCTGCCCAGGGAGCACATGCCATGTTTGCCACACACCCACCACGCACGCACGCACGCACGCACGCACCCACACACAATTATATACACCCCACCCCTCCCCTCCCGCTCACCTGCCTCACACCCTCCACCCATCCCCAGTACGTCAGCGAACCTAACGTCAATTCGGTTAATCCCATTGGAATTTTAGAGAACACCAAATAACTTTCAGAATGATGTGGCAGAAGCAACTAGGGTGCTACCATGCAATGTAAAGTAAAGAAGCAGATGCTGTAATTTACAATGAAAGTGAACACTTGTCGCCGGTGATGATGTATGTAACAACATGCATGCGATGACAAGTGATTTGGACAAACGCGCACGACTTCACGTACGGTTGTCCAGCCGTTAGCTAAACTTGCATTAGGAAGACGTCACATGTAAAAAAAACATGGGCTTGTTTGGGAGTCCATTTTGAGGTGGTCACGCACATCCCACATCCCACATCCGCTCTTTTGCATTTGCAACCTCCGTCCACACTTCCAAGGAAAGGTGGGGCGATGCTAGGCTCTTATCCGAAGGGCGTGGGCAAAGGACCCATGCCTATGGGCAAAGGACCAGGACTTGCGCCGATGGGCAAAGGACCTATGTCAACGGGCAAAGGACTTGGGTTGACAAACCACTTCCAAAGCATTTGGGATTGAGGTTCTTCTGCCGGGAGAATGATCGAGACATGTTTGATTGGAATGAATAAGGGTGTCGTCGCTAGAGACTTCAGAGACACAGTCATAGTCATTTATCATTTGCCAAACACATATAAGCTGGTAGACCACCAAAAAGTTATAGTAAGGGCTCCGCCCTGGTGCCGCCGACCCCTTTTCTTGGGGGAGGAGCGCGGCGCTGCTGCTGCGTGGTGCTGCTGGCTGCTATAACCATACACCGGCTATTTCCTCAAGACACTCTATTCTTGACACCTTTTACCAGTGCTTATCCTACACTACGGATGCCCTAGTGTATGCACAGTCCTTGTGATGCTTACCCCTCGTTCCGGCTGAAGGCATAGATAAGCGGGGGGTAAATTGACGCCCCAGATTTGCCATAACCACAAGCCGGCTATTTCCTCAAGACACTCCAGTCCTTATACCTTTTACCAGTGCTTAGCCTACACTACAGACGCCCTACTGTATGTGCAGTCCGTATGATGTCAGAAATGCTTACCCCTCTTTCCGACTCAAGGCATACAAAAGCGGCGGGTAAATTTACCCCCTAAATTTGCGGAGCACGCATCTTCGTGCTTGCCAACGAGTGCACCCGGGTTGTTCCAATGTACCCTGCCCAGTCAGCGATGTCGCATTTACATTCTCTAGCGCCAAGTATGTACATAGCAAGCTTCCTCCCAAAACATGTAATCCCTACACGCTTTGCCGACTATGTAACTAGTACATCCGGTGCGACTCGGCTAGCGTTCGACCTGCTCTTCCTGCCTTCAAGTGATGCTTATCCCTCGTTCCGGCTCAAGGCATACATAGCGGGGGGTAAATTTCCCCCCAAGATTGGCAATAACCACAAACAGGCTATGTCCTCAAGACACTCTATTCCATATACCTTTTACCGGTGCTTCTCCTACACTACGGACGACCTAGTGTATGTACAGTCCGTATGATTTTAGAAATGCGTACCCCTCTTTCCGACTGAGGGCATACAAAAGCGGAGAGAATTTACCCCCCAGATTTGCTGATCACGCACGTCGCCGTCGGAAGCCCATAGAAAAAGCTTTCTGGGCCAAGCTGCGGCCTGCAGG